TTTTATGTTTTATAAGAATATTTTATGATGGCCCGCCCTTTTTTTTATTTTTTTATTTTTTAAACAATTGTTTATTGTCATAATCGTGCTGCCATGTGTAATTATTAATTTTTTTATTTATTTACATTTTACATTTCCGCTATTGTACACTGCTAAAATTATATTGTTTTCCAGTACAAATATATAAACATTCATAAATCAAGATATATTTACTGGAGAATCAAAATAGCATAAGATATTAAGTATTGCTTTCTGAAAAATGGAACCCCATTTCCAGCACAGGTTAAAAAAAATTGCAACTTTTTATCTCACAGTTTAGACTTTTTTTTATTTTTTATTTGCAAGTATATATATATATACACAATTACCTTTTCAATTTTTATCCTACACTCTCAGAAAAAAAGGTACAAAAGCTGTCACTGGGGCGGTACCTTTTCAAAAGGTACACTTTTGTACCTTTAAGGTACCAATATGGACTCTTTAGGTACAAAGTTGTGCCTTTTGAAAAGGTACCACCCAGTGACAACTTTTGTACCTTTTTTTCTGAGAGTGTATGGCAGAAGCAAGCTTTCATACATTTCACTTTAAATGAAGTTTATTTTTCTGACCTCAGTGGCAGATATTTTTTGTGTTTTCAGTAAAAACTCAATTTGAAAACATTTTTCAGAAAATGACTTATCTTAATATCTTTATATTAATATTTTTATTAGTGTTCCATATTGGCCAAACTTGATTTGCATTGCATGTATCCTCCACTGAGAAGGCATTTCTCCAGTATTGTCATCCTCTGATCCTGTCTTTGCCTGTTTGTCAGAATGTGCCAGACTGTTTCATGAAGGTGGCGCGAGGCTGGTTTTGTGTGGGCCGAGCTGGGATAAGCTTGAATCTCTGTATGATTCTCTGTGCAGTGGATCAGACCCCAGTAAAGTGAGTATTGAACCACATTATTAGACCTACAGTCCCAAAGTAAGACAGACACCATCAGCAAGCCTGTCTCATGTTCACTGTGATCACTCGCTCTCTTCACTTTCAGGATTTTGTGTGTCTGTGTGTCTCTGTCAGTGTTTCTTCCTCTGTCATGAACAATGGCAGGATTTCCTCCTGACAGCCGAATGTCCACGAGTCTCTTAAAATACTGGTCCTCTGCTGTTTCAAACAACATGTTGACTTCATTTATTTTGCCGTAAATCATACTGCCATGAGAAATGTTGCATTTTTAAATGCTATTAAAAAGCAAAAACCTGTTAATTTATGGCTGCAGTGTATAAAGACGTTAATTATTTAAAGCACTCTGTACTAATATGATCAAAGAACACTTCATTACGCATCAGAACATCATTTTTCTCTAGTAAAAATACCTTTAAAACAAAATAAAGTTACTTGAGAGGCAAAACTGCGTAAGATATTTGTTTTAAAATATTTTAATCTTAACTTTACTTTTAAAGACTTATATTTATTTATTTACATTTTTGAACAATCAGTGGCTTGGAAAATATTAAACTAATCTTTAACCCCCACAAAAAAACACACAAAAAAAGTACTGTATAATATATATACTGCAACATTCTATGATGCTTAAAAAAATAGTGCACCAAAACAATTCACATTTTTCTTCTTCCATTGAAAATCCTTTTCTCCAGTAAACATATCTAAATACAATGAACTCTTCTGCTCAGCAGTAATATTGTATATTATTATTAGTAATAATTAAAAATAACTGTTTACTACCTGATTATATTTTAAATTGCAATTTATAATTGATATATATATATATATATAGGGTTAGGTACACACACACACACATTACTGACCTCCAAAATAATTCTAAAAGTATGTTCAAGCATTAATGTGGCATCTGGTTTCCTACTATCTATACTTCCTGTTTCAGACTTTCACACCCAAGCTAGTGCTGCTGGACTTCAGCGATATGGAGAACATTTCGGATGTGATCACAGAGATCGGAGAGTGTTACGGCTGTGTGGATGTGCTGATATGCAACAGCAGCATGAAGGTCAAAGCACCGGTGCAGAATCTCTCTCTGGAGATGGACAAAACCGTCATGGACGTCAACTACTTCGGGCCCATAACGCTGGCCAAAGGTAGACGGCTGCAGAAACACAGCGAGGAACATGCCGATGGTTCATTGGCAGAAAGAATGTTAAAGCGCTGCTTGTTTTTGTTGCAGGTGTTCTTCCGTTAATGATCACGAGACGGACGGGTCAGTTTGTGCTGGTCAACAGCATCCAAGGGAAACTGGCTCT